AAGAAAGAACTGAAAATTTGAAGTTCTGTTCATTCATCAGAAGGTCTGGTCTCAAGGTTATTGTGGGTTATAGTCTTTGATGTTCATTTGGATCTCATTGAAAGTGCCATTTGTTTCTGTGTTTCTCTTGTCTCCTTCCTTTAAAGTTTTCTCCTGATGTTTTTCCTTATTCATGTCCCCCAGATTTGCCGCTTATGGTGCAACTAAACGCAGTGTGGTGCATCTCACTAAATCGCTACAGGCAGAATTGAGGATGCAAGATGTCAAGAATGTTATAGTACACAATCTTTCGGTATGTGTGCAGTGTGCTTCATTCATTAGAACATTCACTGAAAAGTGTACGCAATTATCTTGGTTGAGTTCTTGGATATTTCGTGTAAACTCCCTAGATTCCAAAGGCGCTTGGGCAAATTAGATTTGCCTAGCAACTTAGAACCTTGTGTTCGTAATTTTTTAGAAAATACAAAAATCTCTGAGCGATCAAAATCCTAATACATGCCATGTCATTGAAAAAAGAAAGAAAGAAGTGAATAACAAGGGGAGTTAGTTGTTTGTAAGAATGCTTAATAGCTTATAGGATTTACCAGAACAAAGCAAGAGGGGTGAGAGCAAAAATGGTTTGTGTGAATAGCTTTCTGGGAATATATTCAAATTGAGTCCGGTAAATTTTCATTTTTCAAAAAAATCCTTCTATATAAAGATCTTGAGTTAGGTGCACATTTTTTGCAACGTTAGCATGTCTCTTTACAACAGTTCCAATCTCAGTTCTAATTTTTCCTGGTTTCAATCAAGCGATTTGCATGCAATCCGAATCTTTGATGATATTTGGACCAAAACGTGAGATTTTGTACAGTTATAGGACTATTTTGCTAAATGGTGTAAATTTTGAGTTTTTACCCAGAATTATAGCTTTAGCTTCAGTCTTTGACCTTGGTCAGGGGGAAGTTAATTGGCTTATTAGAAAATTGTGATCTAGTTAAATAGAGATTTTATCAGTTTTTCAGTTTTTCCTTTAAATGCGTCTATTAATACACATATTCCTTAATTTATGGTGATTTTTGAAATTATGATGGTATGATGTGGACCTACTCATCCATTTGTATTATATGAAAATTCCCGCGTTTGTATTTCGAAACAAATCATATATTCATTCATCTTATATATTTATGCTCTCAATCTCCAGCCAGGAATGGTTACAACAGATCTTCTCATGTCTGGGGCTAACACGAAGCAGGTCCATATTGTTTATGATTTCGTCAAGCTTCTATTAGTTTTGTTATCTCAATATCTTATCTGGCAATTTTTTGTGTATTGCAGGCCAAGTTTTTCATTAATGTTTTGGCTGAACCAGCTGAAGTAGTGAGTTATTTTTACTTTACTGCACAAACTTTTATAACAGTAAAATTATTAGCACCCTCTCCATTGAAATGCTTATGTTGTGCAGGTTGCTCAGTATCTTGTTCCCAACATTAGAAGTGTTCCCACAAATGGATCTGGAAAACCGACTTACATACGATTCCTCACCGGATTAAAAGCCTACTCTCAAATATTCTCAGTTAAGCGGTAGCCAATAGGCATATATACTTTGTTCTTCATGAATTTTTCGATACTTCTGCTTCGTGAACTCTGACGAGCCTTTCTTTTTTACTTTGACTTTTCGTGTCGAACAGAGGTTTGCTTTTGGAGCCCGAAGAAATCGATATGTTCTTGAAGATTAAGATCATTGTCTCTTCCCCTCTTCTTCCTCTCTCTAACTGGAGTTGCATGTTTCATTTGACATTGTTATTGTTCGATTTGGTGTTATAAAAATGTTACTCTTGGTCGTAAACACACAATTGGTTAACAAAATGCGACATTTTCGCAAGTTTTCCTTCAAAAAAATCTCAAAACTCCTAAAATAAAGAAAATTCGTCTCAAGGAATTTTGCATTGAACTGACTATGAGCCTTCAGGAATCGAGTGACGACACCAATACACATAGACAACCACCAAAAATCTCGCTTTTGTGTATATATCATTAATAACCTCTTCAATCTGTTCAACCTTGTACATGTACTTTCCTCTACATTTCAAAAACTCAAATAATGATAATGTACAATTACAACATGTGTATGCCAAGAATCTTACCCAAGTACAACTATGAAATCCAGATGCTAGCTGCAGCCCAAAAATTAATATAACCCGTACCAAAAAAAAAAAAAAATCATCGTGAAACAAAAATAACAAACAAAAGCTAACCATGGATCCTTTGCAGGGGTGGACTGCAAATAGGGTTCATCTCTATTTGTGTGTCTCGGGGCTCCCTTGTGCTGCTGTTTTTCTCTGCTTCTCGAGCAATCTGGATGTCGTTTGGTCTACAGTACTGAACAAATGTTTTAACGGCAAAATGAGGAACGAGAGCTCCAACTGTTATTCCGAGCAAGCAAACCCAAAACAGTTCGGTGTTGGCAACGTTAAAGAAGGCCCTACAAACATTTGTGACTAGAAATCAGTCTTTAGTTTAACTTGGAAAATAGTAAACAAGTATTATATAGTTAACAACAGCCACAAGCATGCTTTAGATTTCATTGGATAACTGCCCCTGATGTTTGGGTTGGTTAAAAAAAAAAAAAACCCAAGAAACTTTTAAAATTACAAAAACTATCCTGGGGTTCGATGCCATGCTAAATGTAATGGGGTAACTGTAATATTTTCACAAATTTATAGGGTTTTTGTAAAAACCAAACTCGGGTTTCTTTTTCGCAATACCCAAAAACTTCCAGAATTTATTGTACTGAGACTACACCTAGGGGGTAATTTTCGTAATTCACCCAGAATTTACGATATGGAAAATATGCCGAAAGAATTCTTATCATCGCAAATAATCTTATACTTTATCCTAATATGAAGAGCATCAACAAATGCAGTACACATGCACCACTGTGTATATATAAAACCAATGCAATGTCTTAAATGGTAAATTATCTATTTTTATAATATTTTATTAGGTATGAGAAATATTTACCAATAACCAGGCAGAAAAGGCAAGGCATCAATCACCATGACACAAGCGAAAGTGGCGATTATCGATCCCCAGATGGCTGCATGCGTTATCCAAAACCACCTAATCACGTCCATTGCCAAATGTACATTGACTAATATAACCACACCAATTGTCCAGAGGTCTCCTATGCTAGAACCATCAACGTTACTTTCACGGTAAGCAAGGAGAGGCACAAAGAAAGCAGCTGCACTTTGCCACAAGGTGTCGAGCATCGTGACCCAAAACAATTTCCCATTGTAGCTCTCGGATCTTTGCCCGGGCCCATAGAGCTGAGGGTACTTAAGCAGAGTCCTCCTACTTAAATCTTTATCGAGAATGCCCACGACTATTGTGGGCACAGATGTGTATAACACAGAATATAAAACCGAGCTCCAATCTGTAATTGCAGTTGTCAATGTAAAACCCGTGAAGAGCACGTACCTAAAGTGAAGAAAGGTGAAATATCAGAACTAGTTTACAATTTCTTACGAATAAGTAAATGCTCAGAAAAGAACTGTATAATTGTTAAATCTTTAAACATTATAATGCATAGTTCTAATTCCGATGGACAATTAAAAGCGAGCTCACCAAAACAAGACCAGAACGAAAACAGCATTCCTGTAGAAGTTGTACAGTATAATGTAGCTCATTCGTTGGTAATTCCAGTGTCCATGTACCAATAATAACGGGACCAAAAATCTAAACTGACCCATGGCGAAATCGGATGCCATGACAGCTTGCCTTCCCTCTTGCCCGCTGATTCCAATACCCACATCAGCCTTTTGAATCATCGACACATCGTTTGCCCCTGAAAATAAGACAAGAGAAACATAAAATGTAGGTAGATAAATCAATTACTACACATTTGCATTAAGTTACAAATTTTCTTTCCATGTTTATTTTAGACTTTCGTTTTTTTCGTTCCAATATAAATATATAATAATGCTCTTACCATCGCCGATGGCAAGGGTCATGTCATCAGTTCTGTTCTTTATCAGGGCAACTATTCCAGCCTTTTGCAGTGGAGCCACCCGACAACACAATACCACAGTACATCTACTAGCTAACTCGAAAAGCTGCAGAATATAAAAAAAAAAAAATTAGTTCAAGTTAATTAACAAAATATAACTCATAATTTTATTGTGTGTGAGAGTGAAACACCAAGCAGTTACCTGTTTCTCAAGCTCGGAGTCCAGAATATATACAAGACTAGTCCCGTCAATTATTAAGGCAATTTCAGCCCCTGCAGCCCCATCAGTAACGTTAGTAACTTTCTTACAGAGTTGCAAAGCATCGTCCAAGCTCTTTCTACACGACTCCTTAGAGTTGTTGTTTATCACTATTTGGGTCATATTCCTAGTAAGGAGCCTAGACGAGTAGCCAATCGAAACCGCAGTTTCTTGCTTGTCCCCAGTCAAAACCCAGACTTTGATGCCGGCCATTCTTAAAGACTCTATTGCTTCAGGCACGCCTTGCTGTAACTTGTCCTCGATCCCAGAGGCACCTAATAAGTTAAGATGGTTTTCAATGTTGTTTGCAACTTTACGAAGTAAACCTGCTCTACCCATCACCGCTGTGTTTGCCGTCTCATAAGATGACTGCCATTGCTCGAATTCTGAAGAATTCAAATCCCGCGTTGCAATAACTAGCGTTCGCAACCCCTTTAGAGAATAAGAGTGAAGATGGCCTTCGGTTGCTTTTACCATGTTGGAGTTTGATCTGTCTATCACTCTGAACATGTACGTGTCGGCACCTTTTACGAAAACCTTTACTGAGTTGTCGGGACATCCAAGAATAACAGACATCCTCTTTCTGTCACTATCGAACTCATGCAAGCCCAATACACTGAACCTGAAAAGCCATTTACCGAAAGAATATATTTTAATGAAGGAGAAAGAAAGACAAAAGAAAATTGTAAATTAGAAGAAAAAGACATTAGACAACTTATTAACTGTTTAATTTTAGACGTGCTTCTAGCAGAAGTTGACTACTAAAACAAGCTAGAAAAAAACTGTACACCTAAAACTTCCAGATAAAAATATTCACCAATAATTCCACAAGAAACTATTTGACAAATTAATTGAATGGCCACTTACATTAATGTAACATCAAGAAAGCGCCCTTTAACCCTACTGTCAGTGCATGTCAATATAGAAGCCAATTATACTTCACAATAAGATGACTGCCAATTTCTGATTGCAATTTGCAATTAGAGATGGGAACCATGGATAGTAATAGGACACAAAGCACAGAAAAATAATATTTTGGGAGTAGNAAAAACAACTTCGAGTTACCTTTGCCTTTCCCCCTGAATGTCAATAACTATGTGACCTGAAGTTCGTTCAATAAGCATAAAACCATAGGCAGCTGCAGCATAGACCAATGACTGCTCATCAGGAGACTCCCCTTGATACTCGATCAACTTAACAGCAGGATCGGATGTCTCAACAGTTAGAGGCACAATGGTGTTGCATGCAGCCAATGCCACAAAAAAATCATAAGCGTATCTTCCTTCGTTTGTGTGTGTTCTTGACATATCAAGAAGCTCTGGATCAACTTTAACCATCATCTTTGGCTTTAAGATTGTCCCATCAGCTGGCAGGGAAGAAATACAGTGACCATAAAAACAAAACCACATCGCAATGGTACAAAACCTTTTCTTATAGAACAAAGAAGTTGGAATGAGAGAAACATGTAGGCACACACACACACACACACACACAAAGCAAAATAATACCTTGGACTGTGTGTATTGTTTGATCATCTTCCGTGCTGACCTTACCATTACTATAATCTGTTCCAGCAATGCTTGCACACTGAAACTCCATCTTGTTCTCAGTCAGTGTACCTGTCTTGTCAGATAAAACATATTTTATCTGCCCCAAATCCTCATTTATATTCAGGGACCGACACTGGAAGCCTGATTTGGAGGACTCGTCAAACATCCGCTTATCTCGGATCATAAAATAAGCCTGGCCCACACGTACAAGCTCCATGGATATGTACAACGATATGGGAATCATAATTTGGAAAACGATGACAGACATAAGAAACACAAAGAGTATCTCCAATCCCCAACCATAATATTCATAGTTCTCAACCTCGGTCTCCGAATAGTCCCTCCTCCTGTAAAACTGCATCATGTCCAGCTCATCATTATGGCGTCTAAGCCAAACCCCGTGACATATGCAGACTATGGTACAGAGTGTCACAAGGAAAATCGAGAGGAAAATTATCTCCCGGTTCATACGCGTCTCGAGACGACTCCTCTTCGAAGTGGCACCTGAGTTGTTGAGCATTGCCTTCGTCTCTCTACCCGCATAAACCACAACCCCAATCGCCCACTCGGTGTTTTTCAGTTCACAACCACGTAGGATTATGTTAGAAGGCCCAAGAGAGATACGCTTTCTATCAATATCCATATTCGCCTGGAAGCCGTAAATGTTCCTGTTGGGCTTTTCGCACTTGATCAGCCCACTTATCCTTTCATCCAAGGGATTTTTCATCTGGGTCTCCTGTTTTGCATACCGTGTCTTCAAATTCGATTCCCCATCCAAATTTGTTGTCTGCACGTAAGCCACTCCAGTGGGATCGCTCGTCGAGAGCAAAACCATGTCACAAGGAAGGGTCTCATTCCCAGACACCTTAATGATCTCACCAACACGAATGTCCTTCCATTTTTTCTGCTGAAACTTGTCATCCACCAAAACCCATGTCAGCCGATTGTTCTCGATCCTGTCCGAACGGTGGCGCCTAAAGTCTTCATAACCGTCCTTAACGGCCGTAACTAAGAGCACGAATGCTAGAGGCATGATCGAAGCCCCCCGGCCGAAAACTGCCAGCTGAGGCAGCTGATTGAGAATGGCAATAACGAGAAAGTATATGTAGGCGACTCTATGGAACTGCTCGAACAAATTCCGGGGCAAGAAAGTCAGAACGGAATATTTTGAGGTCCGGATCAAGTTTCCGGCGAACACGAACTTGTGATTGGTTCTCTCGGGATCATTTACGTAAACTAGTCTAGCATCCTCATCACTGTTCTCTTTGTATCTCACAGGGTTCGACACGGGCTCACTACTGAAGCTCACCTCCCTTATGGAGTGACTGTGGGAGGTCCTTGAATGAGCTGATTGAATGGAGGAAATGCTCCTCTGGAAAGACGAGTTCCTCGTGTAATCGGGAGTTTTGTAAGAACTTTCAGGGTTAATGTCAACCTGGGGATATGAATCCATCCAGGAGAGGGTTCTAGAATAGAAAGTGTTACTCCTGGATTTTAATCTATATCAACAAGAAACAGGACATAGAGGAATCAAAAAAGTCTGCTGTTTAACACAAGGTGTTATTTGTGGGTTTCAAGCAATCAACAAGTTTAGAATCAAGACCAGAAACCCTTTCGCCAGCTCAGAATCCAAAACCCACAAAATTCAAATGAAAATTTACGAAATTTTGGACTCATACAGGAAACCCTCAGAATACAATATATTATGGAATAAAAAAGATGGTGATCTGAAGCAAATTAACCGAAAGCTAAACAGCGTATAAATCACAATCCAAATCACAGCTCAAACAATTTTAACACAAATCTCAGCTCACACGAAGCACCAAAAGCTTCCCAAATCCAAGAACGATCAACAAATCTCCTTCACATACAAGTATAATATATCCCGTAAACTAAAAAAAACTAAAGACCTTCTCCAACCGATCCGCATAACGCAAAAAATGAGGAGAATCTGGCCCAATCGAACTGCAAATCCCATCCCAAATCCGTTTTTGGCCTTCTCTCTCCTCGGTGAAACGCAAATTTGCGTCCAACGCAAAAGATTTGCGTATGAACTTTTAATAATTGCAAAATGATCCAATATTTAATATAAATTTGGTAAATTGCACCAAACGTGTGTTTTAAAAAATGCACTATTATATTTAACTACCCGATGCATACGCTCCCTTTTTTTAATTTCCCCATTAACAGCGGTAGTTTTTTTTTCAAAAACCCAATTATACCCTTTGAATATTATATATATATTACGATAAATTGAATGTAGTTCGACCCTTGACCTCATGAAAGAAAAACATGCAATACAACCACCACACCACTCATTATTGAGTGCTTTACGTAGTAATGTTTGATATATATTGCATTACAATATAATAAATAAAGTTAAATTTAGAAGATAATGTAAATTATATTAAATTAAATTATTAAAATAAATTAATAATAAATTAAATATAATAAACTAATTATATAAAATTAAACCAAAAAACTAATTAAAAATAATTAAAAATTAAACAAACACAAAATAATTAAAATAACTTACTATATTAGACAAACACAAAATAATTAAAAAAAATATAATTAAAAATAAAAAATACAATTATATTTGTACTGATATTTATTGTATGTATTTTATATTATTTTTATATTTCAGTATTGATTTTAATATATATTGTTCCATCCATATTATTTTGTTGCATTATTCATTTTATTTTATCTTAGTTAACAAGCTTTATTTATTTTGTTTGACTTAAGACAATGAAATAAAATTAAATAAATTTTACTAAATAAAATTTAGAAACTAAAATTATTTATTTACAATTAAAATTATTATTCACGATACTATATTATATTTTATCTTACTTTATTTTAATTTATTTTTTTTCATTATTTTATGTTAATTTAATTTATGAGAAGTTATTATTATTTTTAACAATTTAATTTATAGTAAATTTGTCTATTATACTGTTATGTTATTTATTTACTTTATTTTTCAAATATTTAATTCATTTCTGTAGAATGTATAAATATATTTATATTCATTAGATTACACAACTCTCCATATAGCCCAATGGTTAAGTGGGCGTGCCCTCTCTTCCCAACCTAGGTCCGAAACCTACTTCCTAAAATTTATACAATTACGTTTTGCAATAAAATGAGGATATAAAGGTAAATTATTAATTTTGCAAAATAAAAACATTGAACAATTCTCGTAGCTGGAGAAGGTGTCTTCCACGCGCCGTTAAGTTAGACGGAATGGGAGAACCGTGCAACAATTACTTAAACATAAGAGGGTTTGGTGCATTTTTTAAAACACACTGTGAAGACGCGCACATTTCATTAAACACAGAGGAGCGCCGCACATGTCGTTAAACACAGAGGGGTGCCATGTATTTTACCAATATAAATTAGATATCAAGCCAAAATATTATATAATATAATATATATATATATATATATATATATGATAACGACCAAATTATTTTTTCTTGCTCCTCGTAGCTCCATCTTTAAAATTTTCAAAGTTTTTAATAATATCCCAGATGTGGTCATATTTCCATCCGGATTTGAATTTGAAATCTTCTTTGAACGACACTTTTGCTTTGAGCATCTACAATTTTTCATAAACAATTAACCATAGCTAATAATAAATTTAATAAGTAAAAAATGTAATAAGATTTTAATACTCACTATAATTTCATTTGAAACACCGCTTTGATGCATATTTTCTACTACTTTTATGCATGCATGAAGTCTCTTGGCTGCTTTTTCGATTGTTTGAATTCGTACTTGCATAAATCTCTGGCTACGAATCTCTCAATGCTCAAGTCATCCTTCACTGAAAGCTTTTTCTATACGGGACCAAAATCGATCAGATGATTGGTATACTCAATAATTGAGTCCTGAGAAGTATCCATATAAACCTGACATAGACAAATATCTTCATCGTAGTTATAGGAAGATGAACGGATCGACATTCTTACAAGAAGTTAGATGTGATAAAAGTTTAGTGTATAGAATAAAAATGTTGGGATGGAGCCACTACAATATCACATCTTCTTTTATAGTGAATGACCATCTCCCCTGTCATTGGTTTAACCCGAAATGACCACTCACTGCAAAGTTCTCCACAACTTTCAATGCTTTGACCCGAAGATAAACAACCTCTGTAAAGGTGATCCCTCCATGTTCTGACTCGAAAATAACCTATCACTGCAAAATTCCCCACATTTTTTAATGCTTTGACCCGAAAATGATCACTCCCTCCAAATGTTACCACACCTTTCAAATTCACACATAACAGTGGGTCTGGTCACAAGGTTATGCTTTGTACTTTTATATTGTGGGTTATAGTATCTGATGTTCATTTGGACCTCATTAATTTAAAGTGTAGTTAGCTTCTGTGTTTCTCTCGTCTCCTTCCCTTAAAGTTTTCTCCTGATGTTTTTCCTTATTCATGTCCCCCCATATTTGCTACTTATGGTGCAACTAAACGCAGTGTGGTGCATCTCACTAATCTCTACATGCAAAATTGAGGATGCAAGATGTCAAGAATGTTATAGTACACAATCTTTTGGTATGTACGCAATATTCTTGGTTGAGTTCTTTAATATTACGGGTCAACTCCTTAAATTCCAAACACGCTTGGACAAATTAGATTCGCCTGGCAACTTAGAACCTTGTGTTCGCAATTTTTTAGGAAATACAAAAATCTCTCAGCGATCAAAATCTTAATACATGCCATATCATTGAAAAAGGAAAAAAGGAAGTGAATAACAAGGGAAGCTAGTACTTTGTAGGAATGATTAATAGCTTATAGGATTTACCATATTAAAGCAAGAGGGGTGAGGGCAAGAATGGTTTGTGTGAATAGCTTTTTGGGAATATTTTCAAATTGAGTCCTCATTTTTCAAAAGATTCCTTAATTACTATATAAGGATCTTAAGTTAGGTGCACATTTTTTACAAAGTTGGCATGTACCTTCATAACAGTTCCAATCTCAGTTCTAATTTCTCTTGGTTTCAATCACGCAAGTTGTACGCAATCCCCAATCTCTTATGATATTTGGACCAAAACGTGAGATTTCATACGGTTATAGGACTATTTTGCTAAATAGTGTAATTTTTTTAGTTTTACAGGGCCATTCGTTATTGCCCAGATTTATAGCTTTAGCCCGACTTGGTAGGGACTAATGGCTTCAGTTTGTGGCCTTGGGCACGGGGAAGATAATTGGCTTATTAGAAAATTGTGATCTAGTTGAATAGAGATTTTATCAAATTTTCAGTTTTTCTTTAATATATTCCGAAACAAATCATCTCCCATTCTGTGCAGCCAGGAATGGTTACAACAGATCTTCTCATGTCTGGTGCTAACACAAAGCAGGTCCATATTGTTTATGATTTTGTCAAAGCTTCTATTAGTTTTTTATGCCGACGAGAGTGTGTTGTTATTTCCCCACACATATGATCGACTTCGGCTTTGAGTGTGATTATTATTATTATATTTTATTGTTATTTAGCTATGTTTATTTATGTTATGTTTGGGTTTTATTATGTAGTCATGGACTTGTGTGGGCTTTAATTAATAGTGATTAGGACTTCATGTAGTATTTAAAGGAAGTTGTCTCTCATTGTACTGGCGGTTTTTATCAGATAAAGAAAGAAACTTATTGTTCTCGTTCTGCACAGAGAAGAGAAACTTCTCTCAGACTTTGTTCAATTTCTCTGTACTTGCTTCTTGCTGCATCATTTGGTTTTTATCAGATAATGATTCTATTTTTGTGGTTGTGGATCGTTTTTCTAAGATGGCCCATTTTATTCCTTGCAAACGTACGACTGATGTTGTGCGTGTGGCCGAATTGTTTTTTAGAGAGATTTATTGTTTGCATGGATTACCTACTTCTATTGTTTCTGATCGTGATACACGCTTTCTTAATTTCTTTTGGCGTAGTTTGTGGCGGCAGGCAAACACTTGACTTGATTTTAGTAGTGCCTATCGTCCACAAACTGATGGTCAGGCTGAGGTTGTTAATCGTTCATTGGGTAATTTGCTTCGTTGTCTGGTTGGTGATAATTTGCGTTCTTGGGATTTGCGCCTTAGTCAGGCTGAGTTTGCACATAATTCTGCTGTTAGTCGTGCTACTCGTTACTGTCCGTTTCAGGTTGTGTATGGTTTTGTTCCCCGTGGGCCAGCTGATTTGATATCTCTTCCTTCTTCCGGTCTTACCGATCGACGGGCCACGGATGTGATGTCTGATTTGAGACGCATACATGATGAGGTTCGTGCCAATTTGGAGACTACTACTGCTGCTTATAAGCAGAGGGCTGATATTCGTCGTCGAGAGTTTGATGTGGGTGATTTCGTGTGGGCTGTCTTGACAAAGGACCGCTTTCCTGCACAAGAGTACAATAAGTTGTCGGCTCGGAAGATTGGTCCTGTTCAGATCATTGAGAAGATTAATCCGAACGCCTATCGCCTTCGTTCACCATTTCATATGCGTACTTCGGATGTCTTTAATGTTAAGCACTTGGTGCCTTTTCATGGAGACAATTCTACCGACGAGAGTGGTACAGATTCGAGGGCGAATCCTCTCCAACCGGGGGAGAATGATGCCGACGAGAGTGTGTGTTTATTTATGTTATGTTTGGGTTTTATTATGTAGTAGTAGACTTGTGTGGGCTTTAATTAATAGTGATTAGGGCTTCATGTAGTATTTAAAGGCAGTTGTCTCTCATTGTACTGGCGGTTTTTATCAGATAAAGAAAGAAACTTATTGTTCTCGTTCTGCAGAGAGAGGATAAACTTCTCTCAGGCTTTGTTCAATTTCTCTGTACTTGCTTCTTGCTGCATCAGTTTTGTTATCTCAATATATTTATCGGGAAATTTTTTTGTGTATTGCATGCCAAGTTTTTTTTATTAATGTTTTGGCAGAACCAGCTGAAGTAGTGAATTATTTTCTCTTTACTGCACAAACTTTTATAACAGTAAAATTATTAGCACCCTCTCCATTGAAATGTTTATGTTGTGCAGGTTGCTCAGTATCTTGTTCCCAACATTAGAAGTGCACCCTCAAGTGGATCTGACAAACCGACTTACATACGATTCCTCACATGATTAAAAGCCTACTCTCAAATATTCTCAGTTAAGCGATAGGCAATAGGCCTATATACTTTGTTCTTCATGCATTTTTCGATACTTTTGCTTCGTGAACTCTGACTAGCCTTTCTTTTTTCTTTTGACTTTCGTGTCGAATAGAGGTTTGCTTTTGGAGCCCGAAGAAATCGATATGTTCTTGAAGATTAAGTTCATAGTCTCTCTCCCTCTTCTTCCTCTATCTAACTGGAGTTGTATGTTTCATTTGACATTGTTATTGTTGGTCAAGTTCATTTGTTCGATTTGGTGTTATATTCTTTGCTTTTATAAAAATGCTACTCTCGGTCGTGAACACACAATTGGTTAACATAATGTGACATTTGCGCAAATTTTCCTCAAAAAAAAAAAAAATCGAAACTCCTAAATAAAGAAAATTCGTCGCAAGGGATTTTACATTGAACTGTGACTACGAGTCTTCAGGAATCAAGTGACAACACCAATACACATACACAAACACAAAAAAATCGCACTTTTGTATATATATCATTTATAACCTCTTCAATCTGTTCAACCTTGTACATGTACTTTCCTCTACATTTCCAAAACTCATAATGATAATGTACAATTACAGCCTATATGCCAAGAATCTTACCTAAGTACAACTATGAAATCCAGAAAAATAATGGACACAGATGCTAGCTGCAGCTCAAAATATATATAACCGTACTCAAAAAAATCATCGTGAAACAAAAATAACAAATGAAAGCTAACCACGGATCCTTTGTATGGGTGGATTGAAAATCGTGTTCATCTCTATTTGTGTGTCTCGGGACTCCCTTGTGCTGCTGAATTTCTCTGCTTCTCGAGCAACCTGGATGTCGTTTGGTCTACAGTACTGAACAAACGTTTTAACGGCAAAATGAGGAACGAGAGCTCCAACTGTTATTCCGAGCAAGCAAACCCAAAATAGTTCGGTGTTGGCAACGTTAAAGAAGGCCCTAAAAACATTTGTGACTAGAAATCAGTCTTTACTTTTACTTGGACAATAGGAATCAAGTATTATATAGTTAACAACAGCCACAAGCTGCCCTTGATGTTTGGGTTGGTTAGACAAAAAACAAAAACTATCCTGGGGTTTGATGCCATGCTAAATGTAATGGGGTAACTGTAATATTTTCACAAATACGTTTACAGATTAATACAAAACCAAACTCGGGTTTCTTTTTCGCAATATCCAAAAACTTCAAGGTTTATTGTAGTGAGACTACACCTCGGGGGTAATTTTCGTAGTTCACCCCACAAGTTACAAGATGGAAAATCTGCCGAAAGATTTTTCATCGTGGCAAATAATCTTATACTTTGTACTCATAGCATCAACAAATGCAATGTCTTAAATGGTAAATTATCTATCTTTATAATTTTATTAGGTAAGAGAAATATTTACCAATAACCAGGTAGAAAAGGCAAGGTATCAATCACCATAACACAAACGAAAGTTGCGATTATTGATCCCCAGATGGCTGCATGCGTAATCCAAAACCACCTAATCACGTCCATTGCCAAATGTACATTGACTAATATAACCACAGCAATTGTCCACAGGTCTCCTATGCTTGAACCATCAATATTGCTTTCCCTGTAAGCAAGGAGAGGCACAAAGAAAGCAGCTGCACTTTGCCATAAGGTGTCGAGCATCGTGACCCAAAACAATTTCCCATTGTAGCTTTCTGATCTTTGCCCGGGCCCATAGAGCTGAGGGTACTTGAGTAAGGTCCTCCTACTTAAATCTTTATCAAGAATGCCCACGACTATTGTGGGCACAGATGTGTATATCACAGAATATAAAACCGAGCTCCAGTCTGTAATTGCAGTTGTCAATGTAAAACCCGTGAAAAGCACGTACCTAGAGTGAAAAAAGGTGAAATATCAGAACTAGTTTACAGTTTATCTTACAAATAAGTAAGTGCTCAGAAAAGAACTGCACAATTGTTAAATTGTTAAACATTTTTTAAACATTATAAGCGTGCTCACCAAAACAAGACCAAGACGAAAACAGCATTTCTGTAGAAGTTGTACAGTATCATGTAGCTCATGCGTTGATAATTCCAGTGTCCATGTACCAATAATAAGGGGACCAAAAATCGAAACTGACCCATGGCGAAATCCGATGCCATGACAGCTTGCCTTCCCTCTTGCCCGCTGATTCCAATACCCACATCAGCCTTTTGAATCATCGACACATCATTTGCCCCTGAAAATAAGACAAGAGAAACATAAAATTTAGCTAGATTAAATCACAATTTTTCTTTCCATGTTTACAGACTTTCATTTTTTTCGTCCCAATACAAATATATAATAATGCACTTACCATCACCGATGGCAAGGGTCATGTCATCAGTTTGGTTCTTAATCAAGGCAACTATTCCAGCCTTTTGCAATGGAGCCACCCGACAACACAATACCACAGTACATCTACTAGCTAACTCGAAAAGCTGCAGAAAAACAAAAAAAAATATTAGTTCAAGTTAATTAATAAATTTTAATGAATCACTCATAATTTGATTATGTGTGTGAGAGAAAAACTCCAAGCAATTACCTGTTTCTCAAGCTCGGAGTCCAGAATATACACAAGACTAGTCCCGTCAATTATTAAGGCAATTTCACCCCCTGCAGCCCCATCAGAAACGTTAGTAACTTTCTTACAGAGTTGCAAAGCATCGTCCATGCTCTTTCTACACGACTCCTTAGAGTTGTTGTTTATCACTATTTGGGTCATATTCCTAGTAAGGAGCCTAGACGAGTAGCCAATTGAAACCGCAGTTTCTTGCTTGTCCCCGGTCAAAACCCAGACTTTAATGCCGGCCATTCTTAAAGACTCGATTGCTTCAGGCACGCCTTGCTGCAACTTGTCCTCGATCCCAGAGGCACCTAATAATTTAAGATGGTTTTCAATGTTGTTTGCAACTTTACGAAGCAAACTTGCTCTACCCATCACGGCTGTGTTTGCCGTCTCATAAGATGACTGCCATTGCTCGAATTCTGAAGAATTCAAATCCCGCATTGCAATAACAAGTGTTCTCAAGCCCTTTATAGAATAAGAGTGAAGATGGCCTTCGGTTTCTTTTACCATGTTCGAGTTTGAGGATCTGTCTATCACTCTGAACATGGAAGTGTCGGCACCTTTCACGAAAACCTTTACTGAGTTGTCGGGACATCCGAGAATAACAGACATCCTCTTTCTGTCACTATCAAACTCATGCAAGCCCAATACACTGAACCTGAAAAGCCATTTACCAACAGAATATGTTTCAATGAAGGAGAAAGAAAGACGAAAGAAAATCTTGAAACAACTAATAAACTGTTTAATTTTAGACGTGCTTCTAGCAGAAGTTGACTGCTAAAACAAGCTAGAAAAAACTAGTACACATAAAACTTCAAGATAAAAATATTTCACCAATAATTCCACAAGAAACTATTTGATAAATTAAATGAATGGGCACTTCCATTAACATAACATCAAGAAACCACTCTTTAATATAGAAGGCAATTATACTTCACAATAAGATATGACTGCCAATTTCTGATTGCAATTACAGATGGGAACTATGGATAGCAATAGGACACGAAGCACAGCAAAATAACATTTTGGTAGTACAAAAAAAAATTAAGAAAAAAAAAAAAAAAAAAAAAAAAAAAAAAAAAACAACAACAACAACAACAACTTCAAATTACCTTTGCCTTTCCCCCTGAATGTCAATAACTATGTGACCTGAAGTTCGTTCAACAAGCATAAAACCATAGGCAGCTGCAGCATAGACCAATGACTGTTCATCAGGAGACTCCCCTTGATACTCGATCAACTTAACAGCAGGATCAGATGTCTCAACAGTTAGAGGCACAATGGTGTTGCATGCAGCCAATGCCACAAAAAAGTCATAAACGTATCTTCCTTCGTTTGTGTGTGTTCTTGACATATCAAGAAGATCTAGATCAACTTTAACCGCCATCTTTGGCCTTAAGATTGTCCCATCAGCTGGCACAAATAAGACAAGCAAGAAATACAGTGACCATAAAAACAATACCACATTGCAATGGTACAAAACCTTTTCTTATAGAACAAAGAAGTTGGAATGAGAGAAACATGTAGGCACACACACACACAGAGACAGCAAAATAATACCTTGGACTGTGTGTATTGTTTGATCATCTTCCGTGCTGACCTTACCATTACTATAATCTGTTCCAGCAATGCTTGCACACTGAAACTCCATCTTGTTCTCAGTCAGTGTACCGGTCTTGTCAGAGAAAACATATTTTATCTGCCCCAAATCCTCATTTATATTCAGGGCCCGACACTGAAAGCCAGATTTGGAGGACTCGTCAAACATCCGTTTATCTCGGATCATAAAATAAGCCTGGCCCACACGTACAAGCTCCATGGATATGTACAAAGATATGGGAATCATGATTTGGAAAACGATGACAGACATAAGAAACACAAAGAGTATCTCCAATCCCCAACCATAATATTCGTAGTTCTCAACCTCGGCCTCCGAATAGTCCCTCCTCCTGTAAAATTGCATCATGTCCAGCTCATCATTATGGCGTCTCAGCCAAATCCCGTGACATATGCAGACTATGGTACAGAGTGTCACAAGGAAAATCGAGAGAAAAATTATCTCCCGGTTCATACGCGTCTCGAGACGACTCCTCTTCGACGGGGCACCTGAGTTGTTGAGCATTGCCTTTGTCTGTCTACCCGCATAAACCACGACCCCAATTGCCCACTCGGTGTTTTTCAGTTCACAGCCACGTAGGATTATGTTAGAAGGCCCGAGAGAGATACGCTTTCCATCAATATCCATATTCGCCTGGAAGCCGTAAATGTTCCTGTTGGGCTTCTCACACTTGATCAGCCCACTAATCCTTTCGTCCAAGGGATTTTTCATTTGGCTCTCCTGCTTTGCATACCGAGTCTTCAAATTCGATTCCCCATCCAAATTGGTTGTCTGCACGTAAGCCACTCCAGTGGGGTCACTCGTCGAGAGCAAAACCATGTCACAAGGAAGGGTCTCATTCCCAGACACTTTAATGATCTCACCAACAAGAATTTCCTTCCATTTTTTCTGCTGAAAAGTGTCGTCCACCAAAACCCATGTCAGCCGATTGTTCTCGATTCTGTCTGAACGGTGGCGCCTAAAGTCTTCATAACCGTCCTTAACGGCCGTAACCAAGAGCACGAATGCTAGAGGCATGATTGAAGCCCCCCGGCCGAAAACCGCCAGCTGGGGCAGCTGATTGAGAATGGCAATCACGAGAAAGTATATGTAGGCGACTCTATGGAACTGCTCGAACAAATTCCGGGGCAAGAAAGTCAGAACGGAATATTTCGAGGTCCTGATCGAATTTCCGGCGAACTCGAACTTGTGATTGGTTCTCTCGGGATCGTTTACATAAACTAGTCTGGCATCCTCATCACTGATCTCTTTGTAGGAAGTGGTGAGCCCTCTGGAATTAGTACCACTCGAACCATATCTCACAGTGTTCGAGACAGGCTCACTACTGAAGCTCACCTCTCTTATGGAGTGGCTGTGGGAGGTCCTTGAATGAGCTGATTGAATGGAGGAAATGCTTCTTTGGGAAGATGAGTTCCTCGTAGAATCGGGAGTTTTGTAAGAACTTTCCGGGTTAATGTCAACCTGGGGATATGAATCCATCCCAGGAGAGGGTTTTAGAAATAGGAAGTGTTATTTGTGGGTTTTTTAATCTATCAACAAGAAACAGGAGATATAGGAATCAAGAAAGTCTGCTGTTTAACAGAAGGTGTTATTTGTGGGTTTCAAAGCAATCAACAAGTTTAGAATCAAGACCAGAAACCCCTTCGCCAGCTCAGAATCCAAAACCCACAAAATTCAAATGAAAATTTATGAAATTTTGGACTCATACAGGAAATCCTCAGAGTACAATATATTATGGAGAAAAAAAAAAATAGATGGTGATCTGAAGCAAATTAACCGAAAGTCAAAACAGCGTATAAATCACAATCCAAATCACAGCTCAAACAATTTTAACACAAATCTTAGCTCACACCTAGCACCAAAAGCTTCCCAAATCCAAGAACGATCAACGAATCTCCTTCACATACAAGTATAATATATCCCGTAAACTGAAAAAAACTGAGGAGTGATAAAAAGAAAAAAATAATGAATTTTTATGAATCAATGAAGTAGCACCAAAAAGAATATAATTATGTATGTGCAAGCTATGCTAATAAGCTATGGCATTTATGGAGCTTCTGCAAAACAACCCACTTGTTTCTCCAGAATAAATTACACAACAGAAAATTACACAAGAATAGAAAAAAGCAGACCCTTTCACAGGACGGCGTATTACAATCTGGGTCGATGTGATTTGAACTGATGCATTTAAGACCACCATTTTGGTGATATATGCGTGGGCATACGGTGAAGATTCAAAGGTCAAAAGCATATTAGTATATTTCTCATTATGAAACAGAAAATGGCGAAGTGGGCAAGAAAGTGGAGAGGGAGAAAGTATTTGGGTTTAATGGTAAAATAAAATATATTTTTAGTGCAATTAATAAAGTTACAATTAAAATTTTCTAATTTGGTTATTAGTTTGTTAAATAATGGGGACATTAGAAAAGTCGTCATATAATTGTGGTTAGTTGTAATCTACTCCATTTAATTTATTAAGCTGGGCTTGTTTCTAGAAGCAGAAGACACGCTGAAGGGCTGCCGTGCAATCATGAAAAAATGTGCATTGCATGAATTTGACTAACTATTTTTTTTTTTTTTCTTTTTTCTTAATCCTGAAAATTGATTGACGTCAAGGAACATTAATTAGGAAAAATAAAGAAAAAAAAGTGAGAAATTGTAATCCACATTTATTTTGGAATCCATCATAATATTCCAATTCATTATTTCATCCACCAATAAGAAAAATAAAGAAAAAAAAAAGTGAGAAATTGGAGAAGGAATAATCCACCTTTATGTTGGAATCCATCATAATATTCCAATTCATTATTTCATCCACCAACTAGTGCGTATTACATGTGATGCACGAACAGACTCGTTACTTAACTTTTTTTAGAACTTTATTTTAAACATAATTATTCATATTTAACATCTCATTATTGCAAAAAAAAAAGAAATAAGAAATATGAATTATATATTATTTATTTGAATATAACGAGTGTGCTCAACCAAATCAATAATATCCAACACATGATGTATGATAAAATTAATTATATGAATCATCATGCTTTTTAAAAGTACATATAAGGAATGATTAAATATGGGATATTTAAGATTCACATTATAATTTGTTATTTGGATATGAGATGAAAAATAAATGTGTACAAAAAAATAGGTACCAAGAATCCACTAAAATTCTTTCTAAACTTCAAAATATTTTGTAGTTAGATAAATATGAAAAAAAAAATCATCAATTAAGTTGAACAATCCAAAATATAAAAATTAATTTTTGAAATCAACATTCTTTATTAAATAAATATGAAATTTTAGTTGTGACCATAAAATGTGAGCTTTGTAGATAGATAAATATGGATAAAAAAATTATTTAACAATTAAGTTCCCATGACTTTTTGAAAAGATTTCAAAAAATTTCAGACGTTTTTTTCGTTAAATGATTGCCCGAATTTTTGTAACCAAATTGATACGTTTGACCGAAATAATTTAAGGAAATGATTGATTAGATTTTTTGGAATCAAGATTTTCAAGATTTTTTTCTCATTATTTGCTTGATTTACCCATAACATTTAAGGAAATCATTGTCCATATTTTTAGTAATTAAAGTTTGCACAATATCTTTCTCAAATAATTTTTTTTAATTTGAATTCGAATTTTCATTCATCAGCTATTTAAAAAAAAAATCTAAGAATAGTAACTTTGAAAATTTTAAACGGGAATTTTAATACTATTTCAACTCTCTCTCTCTCTCTCACATAGTAATAGATTAAAGATATAACATTCATGCCAAAGAAGGCACTTTCAGTGTCAAAATAATCAAACTCTCAGATCGACCTTGAGGAAAACTTCCATTTTCAAAATTCTTAAGCTCGTTCAGAAAGCTTCTCGATCGAAATAATGGAATGGAGGGCACTACAAAAACAAATAGAATCGCTCATCTTACTATTTTCAATCACACGTGTAATAATAATAATAATAATAATAATAATAATAATAATAATAATAATAATAATTTTTGAAACCTTGCGTACTCAAATTTTCACATGTGACATCATAATTCTCTTTAAAAAATGTATCAATAGCGATTTCTCACTTACGTGACTCGAACTCGAAACCCATTAATTGTTATTTAATATTGTTTACCCGTACATCGCATGGAGTACGCACTAGTGGAGTCTTAAACGAGGTGGGTTCATGTTGACTCGGCTCAATAAATTTTACAAGAATTATTATATATATATATATATATTTTTTTTTATATTTCGATTCATTAAGACTCAAGTTCACCTCGTTACCATAACAAGTAGAGTTTGAGTTCAATTACTACTTTGTTATAAGTTTAGGGGCCTGGATAAAAAGATTTCCATTATCAAAGAGCTAAATTCAAACTACGCAAACTTCAAGGGCCCAAACGTAAAATAGCCCGCACCCGTAAAACCTGAATGAACTTCTAAAACCCTACACGAAACACGTAGAGAGAGGCCAACTGCAAACGAATATGCATCCTCGCTTTAATTCTCATTCGTATATCCCTAATGATCAACTCAATATCAATGGAATCAATGGCCCAAATCCACAGCAGGTATACTTCTCCATCTCTTTGTACTCTCTCTTGTGCGCCTGTTTGTGTGCTTGTTGGCTATGTCTGGAAAAGATTGTCCCTTTGCTGAATATTTACGTGTTTACTTTTTTTTGGGGGGGGCCGATAATCGAGCAGGTTATTGGGAGCCAAGTTAATTTTGGAGCTAGCCAAATGCAAGCTAGGCCTCAATTTCAAATGGGTTTGCTCAATAGTCCTCAGCTAGTTATGCCCCCGTTTGCTAATAACCTGAATGCTAGTTTTGCCCCAACACAGTTTTTTCCCTTTGTACGAGGCCCTCTGCAGGCACTCAGCACGAACAATTTTGCCAGTAATGCTGTTAACCAGCCCCAGTTCTGGCCTAGTGGGCCTCTAAATGTGCCGAATTTAGTGCAAAACCCCAACCAGCTTCTGCAAATGCAAATGATGAATTGTGGCCCTCAGAACATGGGTCCATTTGTGAATATAAGGATGCCTATGGCTAACGGCAATGGGATTTTGCCACAACCAGTAGATGGGAGTGGTCTAAGGCCTTTAATCCACAATGATACTGTAGCTAAGGTTTGTGGGCCCGCTCATCAGCAACGGAATCAGAATGTGTTTTCTCCTGGTGCTGCAAAATTGCAGGTAGTTTCTTTTTTGATCAGGGATCATTGTTTTACTATGCCGGTTTTACCGGCATTCTGTTTGTTCCTTTTAATTTGTTATGAATGGCAATCTTTAAAGTTTTTATAGATGGTAATCTTGTTACTTATTATATTGGATATTGTCTGTTTTTTTTTTTGTGATCACCATTGTTTCCTACGAGAAGTTATTTGAAATGCATTTGTTGCTGCAGAGCAATGCAGGAGTAATTAATGGGGATAATGACGGGAAGAGTAGCTGGAGTACATCTCATAACAAAAACTTTGCTGGAAATCACATACACGATGCATCTCAGAGAGGGTATGCTTGCTGCTATTTCCTTAAGCAACTTCATCATATAATGGTGGAAAATTTTGATGAAGAAATCTTGTTGAGTCTCTGCCTTCAAATTTCAGCAGGTTTAACCAGAAGCAATTTCATCATCGACCAAATGCACAAGGAAGCTTTAAGTCGAATAATGGAAATGGAGGAAAAGGTGAATGTATTGAACTTCAATTATTTAAGTCGACCAAATGCAAGCTTTCGATTTGAATGATCTTCAATTATTTAAGTCGACCAAATGCAAGCTTTCGATTTGAAGCACCAATCATTTCCTACAAAAATGTATTCAACTTTTTCCCCAAATATGTTGTGTTATTCAGGGAAGAAAGGCAACGGACTAAAGAATTTTAACTCATGCAGCCCCATCAACCATGTACAACCGAGCCAAAAGAGGTATTTCTGATTGAATATCTTATTTTTGGAGTTGTTGAACACAAAATCTGTAGGTAACTTTTACTCTCTCCCTTCTCTAATATTATACATGAGACAACAGTTGCATCTTTAAAGAGTGGTAATGAGTATCAATGTTGGTAATTTAAAGAAAAGTCAAAATGCATATTTTTGGACCCCTCTTCTGCTAGCTACTTGCATGTCTTTTCTTTTGTTGCCATTTGCTTAGGTGCCTGTATGTTATAACTTATATGCATTTCCAGTAGTAGTTATATGTACATGTAACACAAGCCTATGGTTGTGTCCAGATTATCTTCCTTTATTTTCCTCATCGCAATGTGGATGTGCAATTGTGCAGATGGTGCTATTGATAAAATTTTCTGAATTTTTTTCTTCGCATCAAGGTCTCTCATGCTAAATTATTCGGAACAAGAAATTCAACAGTGGCGTGAAGCACGCAGGAAGAATTACCCATCAAATACCAACATTGAGAAGGTTCGTCTATGGGCAACAGTTACATGATATTAAAGTTTTAAGTGTAAAAGAATTATATAATTTAGACTTTATTTGCTGCAGAAATTAAAAGAGAATCTTACACAGCCGGAGGCCATGGATTCAGTTGCAAAGATGCGACGGCAGGTATTTGACTTTCACTGGCACCATCATTTGAAAGTTTCTCAATATTTCTTTACAAGATAGATAACTGACCATAAATTTTGCCACAGCAACTAAAGGAGATATTGGCAAAACAAGCTGAACTAGGCTGTGAAGTTGCTGAGGTACCGTCTCATTACTTATCAGATTCTGAGGTACAGACAGACGTTAGGCACTCAAATAGCAGGGGATTTGATAGAAGAGGAAATTTTCGCAACAAATTTGATAGGAAGGGCAAATTCAATCAATTTGACCGATTCTCTAAGAGACAGAGACCGGGAAATATGGATTCAGCAAATTCACAGAACCAAAATGGTCACATTAATAAGAAGCAGAGATGGGCCAGTAATGGCTGCACGAACATTCAGCGAGGCCATACTAAAAGGGAGCCATCTCTGTTGAAAAAACTGTTGAGTTCAGATATCAAAAGAGATAAAAGACATCTACTGCAGGTCTTCAGGTTCATGGTGATGAACTCATTCTTTGAAAATTCGCCCGAACAATCTCTGAAATTCCCGGAAGTTATCGTCAAGGAATCGTGTGATGGAAGTGAGATTCCAGAAGAGGAACATATGGCGGCATAAAAACCGAACAAATGATGATATGGTCTCTTTTGACTCTGCTACTGTTTTGTTCTGGTGATTTTGACCTGGATAAAGTCATAGCTTATTGTGCCTAGGCATATGCCATAAAAATTTTGTTGTGTTGTTTTCATTAATTATCTAGGAATTTC